AATTAATTTCTTCTTATTTCTACAGCTTTGAGCTGACAATGAACATTTAGGGCTTTTCTTGTAAATTCTGTAACTTTGTAAAGAAAGGTCGTGTAGAGCTGGGAGACGTCTCATTTTAATCAGAAATTTGCGGGCTACAATCCTAAATCATTAAGAAAAGGTTTTGATTATCTTTTAGAGTATCTGAAAAACTGGTTTTCCAGAAAACCGGGTCTTCAAGAGTCATGAGCAGATATCCTTTTAGGCTTTTTACCAGCTCGATGTGCTCTATAAAACGAGGTATGAATGAAGGAAATCGGAGTTGGGCACCTGGGGCGGTTCCCTCGTAAGAGAACGTATTTCTGTAAAAATACATGTAGATATAAAGATGTTATTTGTAATGGTAAGCCTAATTGTTCTGCGTTTGCATTTTCTGGATATTATGACGAACGATTTTGCCTTTTAATTACAAAACATCCGCCATACAAACGGTTTTCATTCGCAGATTATATTCAGTATCCGCCATTGATGGTCAGTCTGCTAGAAAACCCAAATCAAAGTTTGAATCATAATGACCGACAACCAACAGACGATACTGAGGATATGCTGTATGTCAACAATATTGATATCTACTACTGTCATCGTGGAGTGTTAATGAGCAGTTCTAAAATCAATGGTAGTGACAGATGCTTATGTTCACCAAGCTATTATGGTGATCGTTGTCAATATCAACGAGAACATTTAACAGTTCATTTGAAGATACAGACACCAGTCTGGATGCATAAATCTCATATATTTAGAGTTATCGTTTATTTACAAACAGAAACGAATCCGTTGTATGATGCATTTGATCTTCTACATGTTCCGTATAGTCAAAACTCAACTTACAAACATATTTTCTATCTACTGACACCCAGATTGAATGAATCTCAAACATCACTTGTTTCTATCAATGTATTTTCTGTATCAGAAGATGATGTCAAATATCATTCATCATGGTTCTACACGGTACCGTTTACTTCAATATTTCCAGTAAATCGTGTAACAGCTTGGCTGAATGTTGACAAACAAAGTGAAGTTGCCTCGAATTGCAATCAGAGCTGTGTCAATGGTGTTTGTACGCTATCCCTAATTCCCGCCAATAAAAGTTTTTGTTTATGTGATAAGGGTTGGTCAGGTAATCGGTGTGATATGATTTCAACCAAAGCTTGTGCTGTCGGAGCACATTTATTCCATTCTGTTTGTGTCTGTCCCTTGGGTCGTTTCGGCTTTGATTGCTACGGTAAAGTTGATCTATGTCGGAACGTCCGCTGTCAGAATAATGGTACATGTCGTTCTCTCGATATCAAATCACAACGATACGTTTGCATATGTAGCGAGTCATACTACGGCGACCATTGTCAATATCCATCGGCTAAAGTGAAAATAACCATAAATAAATTAATAATCGATCCATCAATTGTTCACGTACCAATTGTTACTGTACATTTTGTAAATATAACAAGTATGGTCAGTCTAGCTACATTTCAGGATCGTTTCGTCTATAAAAATGTTCCATTTAATAGCAATTTGACAGTAATTTTGTCTCAACAACCATTTTTGTCAACATTCGTCTATGTTCAACTATTCTTTAATACAAAAGATTATTATGGAGAACATTATTTGGTTAGTTTTTCGAAATATTCGGTCTATAGTGTCTATACAAAAATTTTAATTTCAAATCATTGTCCATTTATTGATCAGTTGTTGAGTAGTGAAACAATGTCTTATCCATATATGAAACGTATCAAATCCTATTATAAGCCATGTTTAAATCTCGGTACAAAATGTTTTGGTGATGAGAAGTACATGTGCCTGTGTGATAATGAAGCCCATCTCGATTGTTTCTTATTTGATCATACGGCTAGTAATTGTACAGAACGTGGTTACTGTCAAAATGGTGGACATTGTATTCAACCAGTACAAAAAGATGCCATCCAATTCGAATTTGGTTGTATCTGCTCTGATTGTTATTACGGTGAATTATGTCAATTTACAACTGCACAATATTCAATGTCACTCGATTCTCTTCTTGGCCAGCAAATCTATGCCGATCATTCGTTGACTAATCAACCATTTGTTATCAAAATTACATTGTCAATTATCATTCTAATGGTTCTAGTCGGTTCTCTATGCAATACATGTTCTATAATTACATTTTATCAACAAAACCTTCACGAAGTTGGTTCCGGTCTTTATCTGTTGAGTTTATCTGTTGTTAGTGAACTTGGTTTAGTTGTTTTCGGTGCAAGATTTTTCTACTTGTTAATAACCCAGATTACGCAAGTTAATAATCGTTATATTGCTTACGGTAGTTGTGTTGCATTAGAATTTCTGTCCAGTGTTTTGCCGTCGATAGTCGATTGGTTAACCGCATGCGTTGCTATTGAACGATCTTTTACAGCAGTTAAAGGTGTTGAATTCAATAAGAAATTGAGTAAAAAGTTGGCCAAGTATATAACAGCTGGTGTCATTCTTATTGTAAGTGTGAGTTCCCTGCATGAGCCACTCAGTGTTCAATTAATTGATGATCCACGTACAAATGGTCATGCATGGTGTGTTACGAAGTTTAAATATTCTTGGCTTCATCACTATGAAAGCACAACAAACATCATTCATCTCACCATTCCATTCATTATTAATCTTTCATCAACAATTGTCTTTTTGACGGCTTGTCCACGTAACTCGAGACTTCGCTGATCAAGTTTTTGAAAAAATTATTTTAGAATAGAACTGAAAGGAGCATATCACTAGATGCAGTTTTTGGCGCTGATTACGAATCTCACATTATTATTTTTTAAAAGTTAAATTTTGGCACCAAAAATCCAGTTTTACATTTTTTGAAAAGTGTATTTTCAATTTCCTCACCTAGACACTTTTCCTAATAAAAATGGAAGGTCACACTAATCGATAGAGAATTCGATTCTCTACAAGATGGTATGTTTCTTTTGAAGTTTAGACTCAAAACAAGCTTTTTAATAAAGTTTTAAGTTTTAAGATTCTCACACAATTCTAAGAAAGTGAAAACATTTTTTCAGCTTTACTTTCACGTTAGTCTATATTAGATGCCTAAAACTAAGTCCAATGTAAAAATGAAATCCTTTGAGCAATGTTTAGTGCTCCAAAGTTTGTTGGGATAAACGCGTGTCACAGCGTCACGAAAAATGTCACAGCGTCACGACGATAAAACACAATTATTGAGGGATGGAAAGCTCATTGGAAAGATTCCTTTTTAGCAATCAGTAGCTCGTTTACTCCACTACAAACTTTGCTCGAGGCGCTTTTTATTAGCTCTTATAAATTCGCAGCAAATTAGCTTTTAATGAGAAGAACTTCGAATTTAGGGCCTTTTTTTGTCACAGCGTCACGCGCTGAAAAACGGTTCTAAAAATTCAAGTCTTAAACCACATACCTTCATTTTTATAGCAAAAGTAGAGTAAAGCGAGCTGCGTCGAATGGCTCAAGAACGAAGTTTCTAGCTCTTACACTTTTTGAGAAAAGCTCAAATTACTGTGTCAAAACTGTTACAGCGTCACGCTTGGACAAGCCGTTGATTAGTCTTGCACGACGTAAATCATCATCATCTCTAAATAAAGACCGTTCATACTATAGTGTATTGAAAGAACAAGTATTTGCATACAAACCGTTTGTTATTAGTCCAATTATAATTGTCATTTTAGAACTGCCACGTTTAGTTTTGTCGTTTGCATTTGCATGTATTCGCTTCCAATGGCAAAAATATTTGTATTTAACATCGTATTTAGTTAGTACACTAACGTTGTTGAGTTCACTGTTGATTTTTGTATTGCCATCACCATCGTATCGTAAAGAATTGAAGGGATTTGGTAAGCGTTCATTGAAGAGATTGAATGGTTTATGTGGAAGAAGATAGTAGGGGAGGGGGGGGGGGGCAGTTTCGAAGGAAATTCGGCTGAAGTTGCTCGTTTTTGTACTTCTCTGTATTTAGTGAAGAGCTTTTTTTGTAGTTTTTAATGTAAAATAGTTTATCTATCAGCTTTCGTCGTCTTTTTTGAGTAGTATTTTCTGTGTATTTCAAGAAAGTTTTCTTGTTATTCAGTGCAATTGTGATAGCTACAATTATTTTTTTGTTCGTTTTATAAGATTTATTATTCTTTTTTGCAAGCAGCTGCGCTTTTCTGTACGCTAATAAAGTTATAAATGTTTCAGATTTCTCTATCAGTTCATAGATCACGAAGATAAAAGATGGATTGGCATACCTTAGTATGTATATGTGGAGGATACAATACTTTTGAATGGAAACCGAGAAAAGACCATCAATTTTCACTTCTGCATTTAAAAACGCATTTTAATTTCTTTTTTCCGCTTCATATGTACATCGCACTGAGAAAACCAAAAAAAAAACCATAGAAATCTTGTTTTCTTGATACTCAAGAACTTCAGTAGCGTTACTACCGGTAAAATCAAAACAATGATGAGGTTAGTTTAGAGAGTAAAAGTTTAATACGTCAAAATCATGAAGAGGTAAGAACAAAGAAATACTTTTTTTCCTTGATAATGTTTGGATTCTACAAAACCATGACAGCCGGATCAGTTCTTCTTTCTCTGATTACACTCCTAGGTAGGCATGCAACAAACCCAAACCTAGGTTTGATCTCAAACGGTTTGACATCAAACATGTTTGTTCTAAACCAGTTTATTTGAAGCTAAGTGAAATTTACACAATAAAGCGGGCCTAACCGATTTATTATATGTTGAGAGGGAGTGAGGCAACAAAGTAAGAGAGAGAGAGAGAAAAAAAAACCGACTAATTTGAATGAGAAAATCATTAAGACAATACATATGAAAAACATATAACCCAAATACAAACAGTCGAATGAACATGCTATGCGGTAAAAAAAAAGAACAAAATAAGAATACATCCAACAGATTAATCTGAATAGATAATCTAGACAGTAAAGAGGGAGGAAAGTGGGATATAATCTGTCTGCCAGGGTGAATAGTTGTGTTGCAAGAAAACGAACTACACAGCATCAAGGCGGCCGAAAACGACTGGTACATTTGATATAATTAATGATAGCTAAATAGACATCTTCCACGAGGGAACCGTCCCAACTGGTAAATCGTTTTTTTGGCGAAAGCTATTGGATTATAGGTTATCGACGATGCTGATTCCGAATTCGACACTGAGAGTTCTCATTAGGCCTTCGGAGACTATTTTTTTGGAAAACCGGTTTTCCAAGCCAAAAACCTTTTATCGCCAAAAATAATGTTCTTATCTCTCCAGATTGTAAAGTAGCTGTACAAATTATTACTAATGATTATTATTCTAGTGGTTCTCTTCTTATTAAGAAACTTAAACTGCCTGATCTAGCAGTTCGTCGTAAATATTTCAAATTACTGTTTTTTTCATAAAATTATTACTGGTCGTGTTGCTCTCTCCTGTTTTTCCCTGGTAAAACTTTTAACTACTCGTACTTCTGCACGTACTTCGGACCGTTGCCTTTGGGAGGTACCAAAATTAACGGTTTCTTATGTATTTCTCTCGTTCTTCTTACCTGTTTTTTTTTTATTATCAGCTTATGGTGTGACCTAGTGAAAGTTTTCTTTAACTTTTGTCACTTCCACTGTCATTGTCAACATCATGGACACAAAATAAATTGAACTTGAACGATGAGGATATTCTTAATTAAGAAATATTAGTGAAGAAATAAGAATTTATCGTCTAATTTGGTTCGGAAGGGATGTTCTTTTGCAAATTTTTTTCGTCTTATTAGGTTTAGAACAGGATATAACAGAGTTTTTATTCTTCTCCTGCCTTCCGTTTGCTTACTTTCCTCCATGTTCAGCGCAAAGTTTTTTAACTATAAGTGTTGCCAGATATCTGGACGTGAGTCAGTGGAACTACCGTTTGGTCAATGATATTGAACGTGAATTGGTTATTAGTCTATCGAACAATCCACTAACAGACCGTAATCCGAAAGTGATTACTCAGCAGCTCAAAGATGGTGGGTATGGGGAACTCGGTGGTAATATTACGAGAAAATAAAACCGAAAACTGCCGCAAATCGAATCAGTGAAATACTAACATCAACTAGGTATGCAATAATCCCAAGTTAGGGCTCGCTGATCGGCACCGAGCGGTTTGTTATTGTCCAGTCATCGAACGGTTTGTTACCGAACATGTTCGCGGCCGATCAGCGAGCCCTAGCTTGGGATTGTTGCATGCCTAGTCTGGACTAAGGACAAATAGGATGNTAATATTACGAGAAAATAAAACCGAAAACTGCCGCAAATCGAATCAGTGAAATACTAACATCAACTAGGTATGCAATAATCCCAAGTTAGGGCTCGCTGATCGGCACCGAGCGGTTTGTTATTGTCCAGTCATCGAACGGTTTGTTACCGAACATGTTCGCGGCCGATCAGCGAGCCCTAGCTTGGGATTGTTGCATGCCTAGTCTGGACTAAGGACAAATAGGATGAAATTGAAGTTTTTGAAGGAACTAACCAGTGAGAAAATAGACTAACTAAAGTACAATGTGAGCGAATGTGTGTTCTACCAGATCGCTACCGAATATGTTCGGTCAGCGAGCAATTCGCTACGAAAGATTTAAAAAAAGTAGTTTGTCAAAGCTAAGAACATGAGAGCGAAAAAACACATGAAGGAAATCTTTGTAAAACAGACAAAATGGTGAAGATTACACCAAACGATGGAGCAGCCATGATTACGCCGTAGCCGTAGGTAGTCATGAAAAGAAAAGTTTGAACTAGAGCAGGAACTTTATGTTTGCTTTATTCCGGAAGTCCAAAGTACCTTTAGTTTCCCCTATATCTGATTTACTCTCTAACTAAAGCATACTTTACTAATGTGGCCTCTGTATGCTTTTCCTCACTGTGCAATAAAGTAGACAGAAAGTTGCAGCCTTAATTCGAATGTATCTTTATAAGGTTTATGGTACTTTGTCCTAATAGTTTCTCAGCAGAGCGCTTGCCGATATCTCTGATGAGAAAAATATAAACTATCGTATTTGCAATCTTCGTCCGAACACGTTCGGTCGCATGGAGTTTCCAGGCCGAACAGGTTCGGAGACCGAACATGTTTGGCAACGAACCGTTCGGTCACCGAACTATCGGATTGGTGCATGCCTAACATCAACGGCACAACAGTATGTCTTTACCTCAACTTTCTACATATACTTTAGCTCATTACGATTTTTTAGGGTTGCCGCTGTTTGTGTAAACAACGAGCAAAATTTCTCACCGTCACGATCAGACACACTTGATTATCTGTTGTACGATGACGGCCACATGTTTTACAGCAACATACAACATCCGTTCAGTCTCCCCATATATCTCAAAAGAAGATCGCCGTCGGCTTAGCGTCACAATTAACGACAACATCGCAAGCAACTATAATGAGCGCGAAACAGAGTCAACTCGAATACCATCGTCAACATCATCTGGCTCAAACGACGTCAGTCAATCGAAACGTAAGTTTCTGCTGAAAGAGTCCTACGGCTCTTTCCTTTTTATTTAGAAAATCACTCTACTCGTCTCGTTTAGCGATGGGTATCTGTAGATTTTAGGAAAATATTTCTTTTTCGCTCTCAGTTTCCTTGCTCTGACGTTGTTGAAGAAGTCCGTTATTTCTAAAATTTAACGATAGTAGCTGTGTATATCTGGACCCGTCAGAGACAGAGTTGGGGCCAGCGAGGAAGCGAATCGCGACAGGTTTTTCGGCAATTGTATGAGTTTTTGGTCGTTTTTTGACAGTAATTAGCGATTTTCTCCTTGATAGGGTGATCAATTCCGAAAAACGACACCTGGAACCGACCGAGTGTCTCCAGATCTACTTAGAGCCAACGGGAGCTAAGTTAAAACCGGCCTGTGGGCGAATCCATTCAAGAAATACTCGAATCCTGACCTAGGATATCCTACGTACATTTTTCTATGAAATGAGGCGTCGGCGACCTCTTTACGACGGTTTTTTATGGTTTTATTACGACAAGCACTGCTTTTGAGGTCCGTCTCCAACTGATTTTTACCCCAGTTTTGATCCATTGACCAATCGCAATAATTTACATATGGTTGAATAGAGCATTGAAAGTTACATCAAGTGGCATGCTTTTTTTATTTTCATCAGTTCATATTAGAGGAGAAAAAAAATACTAATTTTGTGTTTTAGTCAAACGCTTTCAGGCGCTTGAAAAAAACGTACGAACGCTCCTCACACATAAACGCGTTCGACTCAAACGCCGGGTTTTTACGAAACGTCGATTTTAAACGCAAAAGAACGCGTTCACACGCGTTTTTCAAACGTAAACGGATACATAGGGATGCCGGAAAATACAACATTCGTCGGTTCCAGTAAGCAGAGAAATGAAAAGGAGCTCAGGATTGGAAATATGTAACCTGGAAACCAATACCATGTAAACAAAAATATAAATATATATAGAAACAACCGTGATCGACTTATTTTCCATTCTGATACATTATTGGCCAGATCTTCTTCTCAACTTCAAACTGCGAAAAAATGCGCAGGTGGGCAATGTAGATGGCCAAATCATTATAAATTGTTTTTTTATTAGGTAATTATTTCCATGTATCTCAACCTGATAGTAATGTTACTATCAAACGCGAGCGTCGCTGTGTCTTGTAGAAAATCTACAATATTTGAATATAACCTTGCAGCAGGCTACACTAAATAGCGTCGCAACACACCTAAAACTGACACATTTTATCAGTATGTTTCTCAAACATGCTACATACAATATACACTTACCAGCTAATCCATAGCCCATTGTTTGTGATGTGATAATCATAAAGAAAGCAATGATAGCGTTATTTATCGTACTTTTATAGTATACTCGAAGAGCTGCAACGATATTTAGACCGTATACAGTACTAGCA